AAAAAAAAAAAAAAAAAAAAAAAAGAAAAAGAAAGAGAGAGAAATACTATGTTGAATGACTACAGAAGTAACTCACCTCTAGCTGATGCAGTAGAGCTTTTCCTTTTTTATTTATTTCTACCATCAATGTAAAAATAGCAACTTTAATATCTTGTTCCACTTGCTTTTGATTTTGGTTCACTTCAATTATTCTGAAAAATAAATGAAGGGGAGAAAAATATCTGAAAATCCGAGGCACATTTTTTTCTTGCAACATTTAAAATTGATGTTTTAATGTCTAAATTAGGCCAAAATGTTATCAGCTCTCTCAATATTTGTTTCAGAGTCCTTCCCTTTACACTAACTCTCTTGAGAATGAATATAACAGACGAAAACATGGTTGTGGAAGATTATGGTAACACCCAAAACAATATAATATACTGAAATGAATAGTGTACTAACTAAACCAGGATTTATAAAGATGAAAAAAAACTATGATTCTGAGCAAGTTTTGCTATATTCACTGGTTTTGCTATATTCACTGTAACTAAGAGGCAGGAAAGAAAAAAAAAACAGAGTACACATGACACTTTGACCTTAGGCATATGAACTGGCATATTGTTCAAAGCAACTGAACAGATAAGACAGTCTTTGCAACAAGTGGTGTTGAAAAAATGGACATATAGATGTTAACAGTAAACCTTCACCTGGGAATGCAGTCGGGTGGCAGGGGGCTTGGCTAGCATGCACCACAAGACCCTGGGTACTGAACAAGCACCAACTGGGGGGAAAAAGTGAACCTGAACTCACAGCTCATATCATATATACAACTGAAGAATAAGAAAACAGGATAATCTTGTATTTAAAATTATTTCATAATTCCTACTTTTTGCCACTAGATGGTAGAAATGCCTTGATTATATCTCCTCATTCATTCACTACTTAAAATCATAAAATCTTAAAACCTATCAATATTGTATTTGGCAAAATATACTATTCTGATTAGTATATGGTAAAGGAAATCATGGTTGGTTAAAGTTATGTGAAAGCCAAAGATTTTTTTTTTTAAAAGGGAAAAAATTTTTAAAGAAAAGAAAGCTGACGAACTAAAAGGCACACAATACAGTATAATGTTGACATACAATACAATGTATAATGACATCAATACATTACATAATGACTTATGTAATGAAATAATTATATAAAAATACTAAGACATGGATGAAAAGTTAAGATCATATTTAAGAATCTCTTTTAAAGAAATCAGGTACTACAGGAAATTAGCTAAAAAAAAAAAAAAAAAAAAAATTCCCAAATTATCAAACTCCACCGATGTTCCAAAATGTTCAGAGTAGCATATTATGGGGCTGGGGATTTAGCTCAGTGGTTCCACCACTTGCTTTGCAAGTGAAAGGTCCTGATTCGATCCCTGGTTCAATCCCAAAACAACAACAACAAACATTATGATGCTCTGTCTTAAGAAAGATGAACCTCAAAAAAAAAGAAAGATGAACCTCAAGACAGATACAACTTTCCCAATAAAATTCAAAACCCTTGCAAGGCCTCTTTTGTTCTGACTCTATTAATCATTCCTTGACCTATTTAGGCAGTGGCATGTGGCTTTTTTATGCAAAATAAATTAAAAAACAAACAGGGAAATAGGAGTTCACAGGTGTTAAGATGGTAATTAAATTTGCCCATGTGTCCCAAATGGGATAAGAAGGGGGTTAGACAATACACTCCTCCAAAGTTAGGGGTTTATTTCCTAATCACTGAATTCTGAGATGTACACCTTTGCACCTTTGATTTTGTTCTTTGAAAGCCAACAGACATAACAAGTCTGTCAGATATCTAGAAACTATTTACACTGTATCAGGCAATGAATATAAGTTGTAAACAATCCCAGTTCTCCTCCTAACCTTAAATTTCTACCTCTTTTCAATTAAAAGAACACAACAACCCAGGGGAAGAATCTCAAACTTCAGCAAACCTAAAATAGCAATTAAGTTGGGCAGTGGTAGCCCATGTTTATAACCCCAGAACTCTGAGAAGCTGAAGCAGGAGGGTAACAAGTTCAAACCCTGCTGGAGCAACTTGGTAACTTAGTGAGTAATAAAACGTAAATAAGATCTGGGATGTATCTCAGTGCAAAGTACTGGTTTCAACCCACAGTGGGGGAAACAAATGTTTAATTGTTTTGCAATACTGGAAAAATTGGTTGATTGTGTTTAAATATTGGCATTTCTTTGAAATGGGGAAACACAAGATAATTATAAATTATCAATACCTATCAGATAAATAAGCAATTACCATTGTTTTATTATAACACTTAAAATTTCATGTTTCAAAAAGATACTTCCTTTTTATCCCCTTTTTCCTTTTGTGCTGGAGATAGAATTCAGGACCTTGCACTTTGCAAGGAAGGCAGCAGAAACACTAAGCTAAATCCTCAACCCTAAAAAAAATACTTTCTAATTCAAACTTTCTAGAAAAGTTTTATCAACCATATACTGTTAAAAGTCACTGGATAGATTACTACTTAACTTGATACTGAGCCAAGAAAAATATTCTCTTCCAAAAATGAGTACACATTATAAAATGATTTGTTAGAATACCAAAATGCAAATTTACCTGTTTTGGATCTGATTTCCTGTATACTTTATGTATTTTGTTTTTTCCATCAGTTTGGTGATTAGTGTATCTATGATCACTTTCTGATTCTGAAAAGCTTCTTCTATAAACTGGTATCTGAAGAAAGAAAGGAAGTTTCATAATAAATCTGTATAAAATGAGGGAAAATCCAAAAGTTAAAAAGCTATCAGAAAGAGATTATAAAAGATATAGATAATAATCTCTTAAAATACCATACACTAGAATATAGCTTTTCCCTTTCAATTTATTAGTCAAGAAAGGGGTCTAAAAGGTCTAACATCTAAAATATACAAGTAACTTTAAAAAATCAGAACCCCCCTCATTTAAAGATCCAATCCAAAAGTGGGCATCTGAAATGAACACACTTTTGATGAAGTATCCCTTATATATTATGTTGTGACCCTTTTATATTGTCTTCCCAAAAGAGTTAGAAGCATCATAACAGTGATTTATGCACATCCATGTTTATTGCAGCACTGTTTCCACAGTCCATATGCTGATCAACAAATGAAAGAATAAAGAAAATGTATTTATATACAATGGATTACTGCTGTGCTGCAAATAAGGATAAATGTGAGTTATTTTTAGGTAAGTGGATGCACCTTTGAGACTATAATGTTAAGTGAAGTAAATCAGATACTTAATTTAAATACCACATTGTTTCTGTTGTGTGAGAAACCAAAACGGTAAATAAAGAGCAAAATGGAGGACAGACAATGGGAAGTAGGAAGAAAATGTACAAAAGGTAAGGAAAAGAGATTAAAAAAAAGAATAAAAAAATGGAAACCGCATTTATAAATGGGGAGGGGAAGAAGGGGTGAAGGGAATAGGAGAGAAAACATTAAGTACATTAAGTACAGGTATGAATTCTCTATGATGAATGTGATCATTATGAATGGCAAATATGTACTTATTTTTAAAATGTCAAAAAGGGGTATGAGGGGGTCCTAAGCCAGACACAGTGGCACAGGTCCATAATTCCAGCACTTGGGTAGCTGAGGCAGAAGCATTATCCAGTAAAAGGCCAGCGTGAAGTACACAGCAAGACCCTGTCTCAAAAAAAAAAAAAAAAAAAAATCGATGGACACTTGCAATTATTTCAGAAGTTTAAGAAAGACATGACTATCACTTGGTTTTTGGAGGCTTATTTGTCAGCTTTATCTGGTCAAAGATATATTTGCAGATTTATTAACTATTTACTTGTTTCAAATTTGAAAGTTTACTGCAAATAAACACTTTAAAGATCACTTCTGAATGGGCAAGGGATTTAGCTCAGCGGTGCTACCACCTGCCTCACAAGTGCAAGTTTCTGAGTTCAATCCCTGGTACCCAAAAAAACAAAATAAAAAGCCATTTGTGTCCATAATAAACTGAGGAGGCGGGTGAGGTAAGACCCTGATGTACTGTGTGATGAAGTTCCATACCACTCTTGTACAACGTGGAAATACATATTAACGTGGAAGTGAAGACAATCTACTTTAGCAAACTATGCACTATAATGCAAAAACTCTTAGAAGATAGAAAATAATATATAGTTTTACTTCTATTTTTTCATAAAATATACAGTATTTCTAAATACGCTTTACATAATATGAAATGTGTAAATGAATTACATTAGTACTATAAATAATGTTGCCAGAGTTATTAAAAAAGGAATACTCAATACTTCTGCTAGATTTCTTTGGTACATAATCACATCACCTACTATAATGACATTTAAAAATTCTTCCTTAGGGAACTCAATCTTTTTAAAATCCTTTAAACACTTTACTACACTGGGACTTTAGTATGATGTACTATTAAAAGAGATGATCGACATGGTTATCCTACGTTGTTCTTAATCTTAATCCATTAAGTATGACATTTTCTAGGACTGGGGATTTCAGCTCAGTGTTGCTGCCTGCTTGCAAGTGCAAGGTCCCAACTTCAGTCCCTGATATGTGTGGGGGGGTGTTTTCTAGATATTTGAATAGATAGTAATGAGATATAGGAAATTCTTTCACTCCAAGTTTGCTAAAATTTTGTAATTGACACTTTATTTTAATCTTATCTACTTTCTGTGGATTTGCCTTCCTTTTTTAGCTTAGTTTTGACTGATCATTCCATACATCTCTTATCTTAATATGCATTTTTATTATTCTTTGACTACTTGTAGGCATTACAAAATTCATGTCTGATCTTACCATCATCTAACATTTTTACTTTTTCTCTTCTTCCTAGAGTATGTATGGACCTTATACACGCATACATGCCACACAGTAAGACAATACACTGTTTCCTAAATCAATAGTCACCTACTCATATGTGGGGTATGTTGGTTGTTCTTATTTCTTCATGCATTTCCTACCTAAAGGTTTTACCAGAGATACAATCGCTTTGTCTGAAAATGTCTTACATTCACTCTAATTTTTAAAGAATATGCTCACCAGGCTGGGGATTTAGCTCAGTGGTGCTGCCAACCTGCCTCACAAGCACAAGGACATGAGTTTGTTCCCTGGTACAAAAAAAAAAAAAAAAAAAAAAAAAAACCAACAAAACAAAACAACCAAAACCAAAACCAAAACAGAATATGCTCACTGGGTATAGAATTTTAGGCCTGTGGTTATTGTTTCTGTACTTTAAAAATCCTACTTTAATTATCCTGCTGGAGTTTGTAAGACCTTCTTAAATATGCACTGATTGATGTCTTTCATCCCTATTTGAAGCTGGCTGCCATTACATCATCTTGTCAAAACTGCTTCACTCCTAATCTCTTTTCTTTCCTTCTTGGTTGTCGGTTACATCCATGTTAGAACTTTATATTACTTTTTTATCTTTCCTACTTTTTAACCTTCTGTTTACTGTGCTTCATTCTGGATACTTTTTCTTCTAGTTCACCAATTCTCATTTACTGAGATCAAAAATCTATTCAACCTTTTACTAAATTTAAGTTCAGTCACTGTAACTTCAGTTGTATCCTTTCCATGCAGTATAATTTTCAGTTCTTCACCCCAATTTTCCACTTTGCCTTTTATCATACTGACTGTAAGATGGTGCTTTTGACACTGTTTGTTGTATCTGCTAGGTTTTGCTTGCATTGTCTCCTTTCCTTGCCTTCCTGATTCCCTCTGTGTGCTGGATTCTGTTTTGCAAAATTCTTTATTAAATGAATCTATGGCCTAGCTGGTTTTCTTCCTCCTGGGAGGATTTCATTCGACTTTACCAGGTATTTTGAAGCAATAGCAACATGCTTTCATTATAACAAAATTTTAGATGCTAAGCTTTAGTTTTTATGAGGAACTTACAGACTTACAGGGTTCCAACTCAAGGCAAGAGGAAGTCTTTATCTCTCATGCACCCTTAAGTCTAAACTTGGACTTCTCAGCCCTGTGAGTGTATGAAAATATTCTTGGGGCTGGGAGTATATAGCTCAGGGTTGAAGAGCTTGTCTAGCATGTGTGAGATCCAGAGATTGATCACTAACACTGATAAGGAAAAAAAGTAAGAAAGAAAAGCAAATGCTTCAAAAAGGATAAAAGCTACCACCCCCTGTCCCTATTCCAACCTAATCCTGACCAAGAATTATTACTTTAACTCTAAAATTTATTATATAGATGATTTCTGAATTTTGTCTGGCTTTTCTGTTGGTCCTCATTGGAATACTTGGTCCAAATTATCCAGTCTGCCATTAGTGGGAGCACAGAATATCGTAAGTAATTCTGTGTACCAATTAATAAAAATTTTAAGGTTGAAATCAGTGACTGCTAACTCCAAAATATCCATGGAGGTCAGATGGAGACTGTAATCAATGGGGAAAGACAAGACTCATTCTAAAGAGCCCTAAGTTCATTTCAACCAGATGCTGACATGAAAGTATACAACAGCTGTTGTAGAAAAAAGCTAGAAATCTGGATTTTTTTAAAAATGTAGAAACATATTTTATAACACTAGCAACCAATTCCATATTTTGTAAAAGAGCATGTCAGTGCTCCACAAGACAACTGGCAACATCTAAAAACATTTGAAAGTCATTTTTTAATTGTCGTTAACTACAGAGGAATGTGAGGGTGCTACTGGCATTACGCTGGAAGAAGTGGAGGATGCTGCTAATCACAGTACAATGCACAACAGTGCCCAGAACGAACAATTATCTAGCCCAAAAGGTCAACTATGCTAAAGTAGAGAAATCCAGCTGCAAGCCAGCATGCTACTAGCCAAACAAAATATATTTGCAGACAGCCATTTGGCTGGGTGGCAGTAGTCCTTTAGTTTGCACGACCCGCATCGTAAATCTATACATGTAATGGAAGACCCTGGTACCTATGTTCTTTGTGCTCTAGCAGTTGACAGTCCCGACATGTCAATTTGTCACACGTCTCACAATAAAGCTTCAACTGCTCCTTTTTATGAAAGGGACAAAACACTGGTCGCTGACTAGTCACACCAACTGCCTCTGCAGAAACAATAGGAGGAAGGCAAAGAGAAGAAAATTAATACAATACTACATGATTATTAAATTTGATGTTTGCACTTAAGTCCACTAATATACAAGTACTAGTTTCATCTACAGACTAACTCCACTAAGTTTTTGTTTTTGTACCAGGGATCAAACTCTAAGGACCTTGTGCTTGAGGTAGGGGCAGTGTCACTGAGCTAAATCTCCGGCCCTCTACTAAGTATTAAAGATAGTACAATACTAAATATTTTCAGCATTTCATAAGAAAGAATAAATGAGCTTTCACTTTTACATGTATTTTACCAAAATTAAAAGGAAAAATCTATGAATTTAATATTAAAAGCAAGGTAATCGGGCCAGGGATGTAGCTCAGTGACGTGGTAACTGCCTGGCAAGCACAGGGTCCTGAGTTCAATTCCTGGTACCAGAAAAAAACAAATTAAATAAATAAAAGCAATAATGAAAACCCAGAAATATAAATTTCATGTAATAATAATAATAATAATAATGATAATAATAATAATAAAGTTTCTTTGGTTATCTATGTATCAAGCAAATGGGGCTGGGGGTTTAGCTCAGTGGTGCTGGCTGCCTCACAAGCATAAAGTCCCAAGTTTGATCCCTGGTACTAAAAAAAAAAAACCCAAAAAATAAAAAACAAACAAAAAAACCAAGCAAATATCTCAAAGCAGGTTTCCAATAAGAGTAGCAGAAGAGGGCTATGAAACATTTTGGCCCATCCCTTGTCTCTTTACAGAGAAAACAAAGACCAAAAGAAAACATAACTTTTAAAAAATATGCTCTGTAGTTACAGTAAATTAAGATATCAGAAGAGCTGAAAGCATAAATGAAACAAAGACAGGATTCTATACCTGATCTGTGTTGACCAATACTATAGGTAAATTCCAAATGTAATGCTGACTTCTTTGCATTAAAAAGTACATTTAATGTTTACTATTGTTCAAAACTATAGTAAAGTAAAACTGCAGCCAAGTGTGATGGCCATGCATGTATCCTAGCACTCCAGAAGCTGAGGGAGGACTACTGCAAGTTAAGGAGCCATCATGGGCTTCAGAGTGAGTTCAAGGACGCCTTGAACTACATGGCAAGACCCTGTCTCAAAAAAAAAAAAAAAAAAAAAA